GGCTTTGATGGCAGCAATTGCTACGTTGACGTCTTTGGGAACTACATCACCTCGGTAGAGCATGCAGCAGGCCATGTATTTCCCATGTCTTGGGTCACACTTCACCATCTGGTTGTTGGGCTCAAAGCAGGAGTTGGTGATTTCAGCCACCGTGACCTGCTCGTGATAGGCCTTGTCAGAGGAGATGATGGGGGCGTAGGTCACTAAGGGGAAGTGGATGCGTGGGTAGGGCACCAGGTTTGTCTGGAACTCCGTCAGATCCACATTGAGGGCACCGTCGAAGCGCAGCGAGGCGGTGATGGAGGAGACAATCTGGCTGATGAGGCGGTTGAGGTTAGTGTAAGTGGGGCGCTCGATGTCCAGGTTTCGGCGGCAGATGTCATAGATGGCCTCATTATCCACCATGAAGGCACAGTCCGAATGCTCCAGGGTGGTGTGCGTGGTCAGGATGGAATTGTAAGGCTCCACCACAGCGGTGGAGACCTGAGGGGCTGGGTAGATGGCAAACTCCAGTCTTGACTTCTTTCCATACTCAACAGAGAGGCGTTCCATCAGTAAGGAGGTGAAGCCAGAGCCGGTACCTCCACCAAAGCTGTGGAAGATCAGGAATCCTTGCAGCCCAGAACAGGCATCAGCCTGAAAACCAAAGAGAAAGTGAAAGAATAAGTGAAGATATCTTTAAATTACACTCTCAAATAGGGCCAGCAATAACCACACCCAGTGCACAACACAAAAGGTAGCAGTTTTCCCAGAAAATTCTCATAATCTATTTTCCCTTTGGGCTAGCGTATCAATAGAGCTGTATCGATTTTTTTTTTTCATACAATAATAATGCTATAGCACTATTTGAGGTTTTCCCTTTAAGTCTTGAATTCATATGGAAACAAGATGGGACAACCAGGACTTGCATATCTCTCTTCTGAACCAGTGACGATCGTTAAAGCAAAAGGAGAGCCGCTATCAAAAACCGCATGTGGTGTTTATTTCCCCTCCCACCCTCCCAAGGTCATGCTTCCAGTGTAATAGTGCGTACCATCTTGCGGATACAATTTAAAACTGCCTCAATTTTGTCTTTGCCAACAGAGTAGTGTCCACGGGCGTAGTTATTTGCTGCGTCTTCCTTCCCAGTGATCAGCTGTTCTGGATGGAAGAGCTGCCGATAGGTGCCAGTCCGCACTTCATCTGAGCAAGAGAAGAAAAAGCAGAAGCTCAAAAAGAGATACTTCACCGAGTTTGATAATGTTTGCAAAACAAATGAAGCATTTTATGTTTGCAGGAAATGATATGGAAATCCGTATGTTGAAAACAAAGTACAGAGGTGAGGAGTGTCTTCTGAGATGTTCTCCATTTTGGAAAAAAAAAAGAAGTGGACTCTGCTCCAAGTGTAAGTTGCCGTGTTATGCAAATGAATTCATTTATCAAATGAGGGCTGTGCCACGCTGTGGTAAAATTTCAGCTCTTTCTACCCATCAGATGAAGATCCATCAGAACCTTCAGGGGAACAACTGGAAAAAGAGCAGATTTGCAAGAGTAAAACAGTGGTTTCCCCTGAAAATTTGTCAGGACACTTCTGTTGCCTGATTCTTCATGCTCCTCTCTGACATCTGGATGTGAGGAGGGCATTTTCCATCAGTTAGGAAAAGAAAAATATCACCACAAAAAAACCCAAAAGAGCAGAAAGGAATCTCTTCAAGAAAGCTAAATTGCGCTTATAACCAGTGGAGGTTTAAACAATAGTAAACTTTTGATGTTATTAATTATTAGTAGAGTACCCATGACAGAGCACAGTCCACTTTTCATCTTTTCATTGAGAATCACAAGGCTTTAATTAACACCTGGTATTAAAAACTTAAAATCTGTATGTTTTGCCTGCATGCTGGGATCATCCCTAATGGTAAGAGCATTGTCCTGATATTCAGTGATCTGAACTTTGGCGTCCAGAAGAGTTAATTAATTTCTATTTTCCAAGATTAGTCCTATACTGACCTATTACAGTTTGCTCCAAGTCCACCATAACAGCCCGGGGCACGAATTTTCTGGAGCTTGTCTCTCTGAAGAATGTGGCAAAAGAGTCATCGCTGCTGGGCTGGTCGAGGAAGGTGCCGTTTGGCTGAATGCCGTGCTCCAGACAGAAGAGTTCCCAACACGCGTTGCCGATTTGAACTCCAGCTTGGCCAATGTGAAGAGAGATGCACTCATACTGAAAGGAGAGGACAGGGGAAATGGTGAAAAGAACCAGTGAATATCCTAAGAGTCCATAGGCTGATTTTTCCTGAAGCCCCCGAATTCACCAGCAATTACAAAATTTTCCACAAGACTGGAATTAATGGAAAATATTTTGACACTTATTTACAAATAGGAAGAAAAACAATTTGCTGTGCGTAGGAAGAGCAGCTAGAGATTTGCAGTCATGCCTACACATGGTGTACAGTAGACAGGATCTACATTGAAGTGCACATGAGCACATACAGATAGAAAAACTGTGCATAGGTGCTCAGAATAAACAACAGTAGGTTCCAGCTAAGGAATATGAGCCAAGTGCAGTTATCCAGGGCATGGAAGACAAATTTGTAGAAATTAAAGGAACTAAAGTGCCTTTAGTACCCTAATTGATTTCAACCACTGATTGTCTCGACCCATTCCCTGGGTACTTTTAATTCAATTTAACATGTGAAGAGTTAAACCTGTGAAGAGTCCTCAAGAGGACTCAATAGTCTTTACATGTCAGACTAAATTAATTTCTTGAGAAATCCTTCTCATACATACACTTCTGTAATTATGGCGGTTCAGTCAATAACCTGTTTCTAAAGTGTTTAGTACTGTGATATGCATGTACTTTAATAACAGAAATCTGAAAAACAAAACATAGTAATGGATTCTAAAAGACAAAAGGCGTGTCTCTCCTGTAGATTGCTATGCAGACTCCCCAGTACTGTGAATTTAAAGGGTTCTCTCAAAAACACTCTTGATGGACACGGTATATTTCAATATGAATCTTTTGGCAAATGATTCCCATCCAGAGTACCTAGGGAAATGTCCACATTTCTTTGCTCTTAATTTTAATACTCATGATCTCGTGGTCCAGAGGAGGGCCACGAAGATGATGAGAGGGTTGGAGCACCTCTCCTATGAAAACAGGCTGAGAGAGTTGGGGTTGTTCAGCCTGGAGAAGGCTCCAGGGAGCACGTTCCAGTACCTGAAGGGAGCCTACAGGAGAGATGGGGAGGGACTCTGTATCAGGGAGTGGAGCAATAGGACAAGGGGTAACAGTTTTAAATTCAAAGAGGGGAGATTTAGATGAGATACTTGAAAGAAATTCTTTATGGTGAGCGTGGTGAGACACTGGAACAGGTTGCCCAGAGAAGCTGTGGACGCCCCATCCCTGGAGGGGTTCAAGGCCAGGCTGGATGGGGCTTTGAGCAACCTGGTCTAGTGGGAGGTGTCCCTGCCAGGGCAGGGGGTTGGAACAAAATGATCTTTAAGGTCCTTCCAACTCTAACCATTCTGTGATTCTATGATCTAGTAGGAAAAGGCGATTAACACAGGGTTAAACATACTTTATGCAAATTACATCCAGCATAGCTTCTACCCAAAAAGGAAAAATAAGTTCCAACCCCATCCTTCTTTTTCTGCATGTGAGTTCTCTTATAGTAAATTCATTAACAGAAATGTAGCTGTACATGTTGGGCTCTGAATTTATTTACCATGAAGCTAACAATGGTTTGTTTGTACATTGTTTGTACACCGTAACATTTATTGCCCCCAAAATGAAGCAAAAAATTCACTTCGGCCTTCCCACCTTCACTCAGATCTTAACCAGAGTAGGGGGAAACAGAAGGTCAAACTCATTGCTCATTATCTCATAAAATCCATGCCCCATCCCTGGAGTGTTCAAGGCCAGGTTAGATGGGGCTTTGAGCAATGTGGTCTAGTGGAAGGTATCCATGCCCATGGCAGAGGGGTTGGAAGCAGGTGATCTTTAACGTCCCCTCCAAATCTAACCATTCTACAAATGACTCTACGCTACGATTCTGTGATTCTAAAATAATCTGACTCTTTTTCTTTTTACCATGGTTTCTCCTGTGTGCTTCCTTTCCTGATTGGTAGCGGCAGCTTCGGTTACTGATGTTTCTGCTGTTGCGTGTGCTGCCTGCTGCAAGGTGCCCGGGCATCTGCTCCTCGGTGGCAGGGGACCCAAAGCATCTCAGCGTGGGCAGGTGAGGTCACAATCTCTCCCTGGCAACCTCCCCATTCCACCCACTGGCCCGTCACACCAGCACCTACCTACGGGGCCCAGCCCTAAAATCTATTCTTAACCAACCCTCCCACTTAATTCTCCAAGCTAAACCTGGTATTAGCCACCAGAATTTTAACACATATGGAGCGTCTTCACAAATAACTGGTTTCCTCCCTTCAAACTCTTAATAACTGGTGAATATGCTTCTGGGAACTCAAAAAAAAAAATTATTATGAACCATTTCAGAATTTCTTCATTTACACTTTCAAAAGGTGGTGTTGTTTTTAAATGGCATCTTTCTGACAAAGGTGACTGTAGGTGAATGGTGGACATGGAGTTAACATGCCTAAGTTCCTCTGATTGGAACGAGTCGGGGAACAGGCTGAACTCCACTTGCCTGTTTGACCATCTGTGGATAGGATACATACATGGGATTACCTTCTCCTGGCATTAAGGCCCCAAACCTTATCTTACTGCCAGCCATTCCTTATCTTTGAGACCTCTGTTCATCTAATTACAGTTCTTCAGCCTTTCAGCTGCCTACAATACAGGCCAATGCGAGTTTTTTTGCACCTAGCAAGAAGATGGCAAAACAAAAAAGCAGAATTTCCTCCTGTATCTATCTGGAGTTACTAACAGAAAGTTAACACACACGTGGCACATACACGCTCTCTCTCACAAGGCTTAGAGAGTAGGATCCCCCCGGTTATGTCTTTTCCCTCCATGACATAATGAGAGTGCAGAGAAAAAACACAGCTGGAGATAAATATCAGGTACTTTATTCTTGGTAGCACTAGTCTTGGCCATCCCAATGTACACAGAGACACATTTTTAAAAATAAATATCTGCTGGATCTTTCACAGAAAGTAATTAGCATCTCTGAACTCCTACAAAAATGCAGAATTATAGCCTACTAATGTCATCAGTTGATTAAATCTCAGATTCACACTGAAGAAGTCCTCTACTTAATTCAAATCTGCCTGTGCAATGAGGACATGTAGTGAAGCATTTCCAGAAATTGTTCAAGAACTGCAGAGTATCAATACATTAAATATAAAAGCTTTCATATATTTAATCACAGCGCAAATAAGGAACTCTACAAAGAGATAAGTCAGTAGTCACTTTATTGTGGAAATTAAATATTGCAGGTTTAGTATCAGTTGCAAAAAGACCCCCAACAGCTTATGTCTGCCTTCTTGCTCTCTCACAATGAATTAAATACAATACAAACGCAAAATCTGTAGTACTCAAAAAAAGGAAAGGTTACCAACCTACACTTAAAATCAAGTTGAATGTTAAGAGTCTTGGTAAATGAGTGGCTACAACATTTAACAGCATTCTGAACATAAAGTATGGCCTGCTCTGACCACTGGTCCCAACCTCCAAAATTGCATCTCTGCCGTCTAATTAAAAATGTTAATAGAAAACTAGAGAAAAAAATGGTTACCTAAACGGTTAATTTGGTGAGAAATTGGCCTGACTTCAGGTGTGCTAGGTCATTAACTGGCGTACAAAGAACTTAACGTGAGGCCCTGCAAAGTAGGGAGCAGGTAGATACAATCTAGTCCAGACAGAGCCTCCCAGTTTGATTCCACCTGGTTTCCCAGAGTTGTAACTACACTGGCAGTTGGCTTACAAGAACCATCTAGCAATACCAAAAGCAGCCCTTCCCTATGTGTGCAGAGTATGCAAGAACTTTTTAATACGGTGAAGCATTACATGCTACTTATCCTGGTGTGAAGTCCTCGCAGAGACAAAGGAACAACCTGAAGGGACTCCTGGGATCTCTACTGGCTACTTTCCGCACATTTGGTGTGTTGTATAGAATTTTACCCACCAAAAAAGGCTGCTTTGTTCAACATTTTGTAGCTTGGGCTGACATGAGTCAGCTTGCATCCTTTTGGCACAGATGTTGGGATGGTGGGCTACTTGTTTGTCATAAAGGGTCCTTACTTTTAACTTGGCTCTCCGGTACGCAACAGTTTGCTCCAGTGGAAGCAATATTTAAGTTAGGGCAGTGCTCCCTCCTTTGGAATTTACCCTTTGTCAATTGATGACAGGTAGATGGATGGAGAAGAAATGAACGTTTACCCCAAACCTCCAATTTCTGCCCCAAGTGGTCAGAAATCGGGTCAGTCTGGTGACAGATCTTCTGCAAAGCCAATAGTTTTCTTGCCATAGATCTGGGGAAGGTTTTGGGATGTCAGAGAAATACCTCTTTCTACCTATTAATGAATTTTTGTTCTGAATGATACAAGCATTGTTAAATGGGTGCCTCATAAACCAAGACTTTAGATATTGGGGGGCGGGAGGAGAGCAGATTCTAGACATACAGAGACTTTTTGACACCTACATAAACAAAGCAAGAGGTAGGGAAAGAGTAAAACAATGCAACAACTTCAGTTGTTCAACTGCACAATAATATAGAATATCGTTTAAAAAAAATAAATCTATTTCCTTACCACCACTACTTGCTCTTAAAAATTACTATGCATAAGGCAAGCACACAGTGCTGTAATCTGCATTCAAGATGAGAAGGTGCAGCACAACAGTCTTTGTGGCCCACCACCACCATGGCTTTCTGGCTTAAATAGGACAAAAAAATCAAGAGCGCCTGTGTAAGGAGGCATCAGTCACAAAAGAAACCATGGCCTTCAAAATGCCATAGGCTTCACTTTCTCCAGTGTTTTACTTCCACATGCTTGCCCTAAATCCCATGCTGCAGGAACCAGGTTTTTCAGATGTCTTCAGGCAAAGCAGATATTCCCCTAATTATTGGTACTCTGTTGCCTTTTACAGTCACGCCTCCAGGAACGCTATTTCCCTTGTTCAGAAAACTGCCCAACAGTTGCAAGGATGAAACCTTCTTCTGTAGTTCGTAACTGGCTACAAAACCTTCACTCAAGAGCTACATCCAAATCAAAGTGTTTGAAAAAGGGGATTCTTATTCAGTCGTAAATTATGGAAGGAGTGGCTTTACGCTGGTGTTGGACAGAATGGTGCTGTAGAGCCAAGTAAAATGTCAGGACTACTTGGTGTGGTTTCAAAATTCATACAACACAATTCCTCATCTGAAAAAATGAAGGTTATCGCCACACAGGAGTTCACGGGTGGTCACCTCAATTAGGACACTGATTTCAACAGTCCTTGAAGAGGCTGATAACATCCTCAAGACAAGCTGACACTTTTACAGCAGCAGAAAAATACACATTCTGTGATAGAGTACCCTTAGTCTTTAATTGGAGGCCTATGGACTGGAGAAAATACAGCTGCCCAAGCCTGTCGGAAGAGCTGGACCAGTTTGTAAATGAATGGCAGTGATGTGGGAGAAGCTGCAGGACAAAACAAAAAGCAAAAAAGCTTTTCATTATGAAAGGTAAAACTAAGACACACTAAACAAATTAAGAAAGCACTAATCCCAACTAGAGTTAACCAAAATCTAGTTGTCTTATTTCCTTCTGTTCGGTTCAGTACTTGAGCCTTCACTCAGGGCACTGCTCCCATCCCTAGCCAGCCTTCTCCAGTATTTCCCAATGGACTACCTGCAGAATAGCTCTGGAGCACCAGCCACCCAGCAGGAGGAGAAAGACCCAACTCTTCCACTCCCCAGCTGCTACCTCTACATCGTGGGATCAGCTCATTCTTCAGCGACAGCAGCAGCCATCACTCATGGAACTCCACCATAAGCAGATCACATGCAAGACTACGTTGCTGCCCTGGGCAACTCTGCTCTCCTGCCAGGACAGCCTGCCAGGCAATCACTCTTCCAGGAAACACTCACCTTGCAGCACCTCAAGTTGACTGAGGCAGAGGCTGAGTCTAGAACTCAGACCAAACCTTTTAATAAAAGCAACTATTTTCATCTCTGTAATCATAATGGAATTTAAAAAATTGGAAATCTTAATACTGTACCTGGGTCTAATCTCACCACCACCAGGTACAGCAGAAAAGTGGCCAAGAGCATCTTTTTGTAAGGGAGTAAGTAGAAGTGGCTTGACATGGACCTCAGTGCTCTACGTAGCAATTTCAACAAGGTCAAGAGCTTTTGGGACAGAGCACCTAGAATACAAGAAGAGAAAGACTGCTAGGGCAAAGTTAAGTTAAAAAAAAGTAATCACACAGGTACAGATAATAAGAAACTAAGATACTGAAGTAACACTGTTCTTAGTTTGACTGCACAAGAGTTGGGTTATTGCTGTTTTTTCTATAATAGGGACCAGAGACACAGTACAATTTTGCAATACAATTCATTATACCTTTTTTTTTTTAGGCATCTACTTTAGTCTAACATGATCTTATGCCACAGTAGTGCCAGCTTCTCTCCTGGGAGATAACATCAAGTGATTTACAGTTCTGGAGGAGAAGTAGTACTTAAAATGCCAGACATGCATTATTCTATATAGGCTCAAGTGTAAATGGAAACAAAGAGAGCAGAGACAGAGCCAACAAAATGCACCCTCAAAGGATTGCTGGGTAGTTTTTGTTTCCCTTTTGTACCTTTTTAAAAAAAAATTATTCTTAAGTGCTTTTGAACCTGTAAATTCTCATCTCTTGACATCAGCAGAGACTAAACGTGCTTTGTAATTGTGAAGAAACAGATGACTAAGTCTTACATTTCCTTTTGTGGCACACAACAGGACTTCCTCATGGCTGGTTTGTCATGACAATATTCTTAATACATAGTTAATACTTGCTACCCTTAGTAAGGGACTAACTTGAAATAGAATTATAACCAAGGACCACAAACACGAGGGAAAGCCTACCCAAAACGGTTTCTGCTGCTGCATCTGGCTGCTCTTCAGCAGCTGAGTGCATCTCTTCCCGTTGAGTCCACTGACATCGGCTTTCACCAATGGTCCCCAAAAATGCTAACTGCTGCTCGCTGTCAAAAACATCACAGCCACGTACAAGCTCTTCTGCCCTCTCAAACCGGCCAAGAGGGAGCAACACATGCAACAGATAGAGCTCCAGCAATGAACCGTACTCGGGGAGGCTCTTATTGCTTTGGTCTCTCAGCCAGCTGCTCCCGACCTCCAGCATCACCTGCGGCTCTCTCACTTTGCTGTATAACAGGATACTGAAATACAAGACAGAAATATTAGAGAACACTGACTCTTTGTAAAAGCTGAGATCACTGATGATTACTTGTGGGTTACTACCCACAAGCAGCTATCATGAAGGCACGTATCAGGGTCCACACAGAGAAACTGCCAAGGTGGAAAATAGGTGATACTGATGTTACCTTCTCACCATCACCCCTTTTGTACTTTCTCACTGTGACGCAACCCGCTGGCCTGCAGGGCACACTCCCGCACACACAGGTCAAGTACAGGCCTGTCCCAGGTTCTGCTTTCATCCTCACATCGCACAAGATGAAAATATCACACAATATTCAAGTCTGTCCTGCTATTAAACCTAAATAACGCAAGCCCTGGGTATCCACGGGCAGAAACTCACCACAGCTCCAGAACTTTTGGAGGCAGATGCTCAGGGACGTGGTAATACTGTAGGACCCAAGACAGAACTTCTCTCCACCGGTTCATCTCAGCCAGCGCCTGAATCCCCACAACACAAAGGGAGCATTTCACTTCTGCAGTGCTGGTAAGGAAGAGACACTTCAATAACCACTTTTACAACCACCTTTTTCCAAGCCCAGGTACTCTGCAGTTCTCCAACAGCCGCTTCCCCTCCTTTCCCCTCTCCCCACCCCCGAAAAAAGGGCAAATTCAACCCCCCGAGAAGATGGCCCGAGTCTGTATCTCTAGGAGGAAGATGCCAGGGAGGCTCCTTGGCACTCCTCGCTTCCCTCAAGAGAGCCCTTCATAGGAAAAAGGGAAATACAGACAGGCCTTTACCAAAGAGCAGCCAAAGCCAAGGTTTTAAATGGTTACCAACTCAGCTTTTTAGCAGCAAGCGCCACCCTCCATTAACTTCAGTAATTAAGAAAAAGACAAAACCACAGCGAGGACCATGGCTGTGACAGCAAGGACCGTGGTTGTGGCATTGTCCATTCCTACAGATAACGTTTATATTGGAATCGAAGAGGTTTCCAGCCCCTCGCCGAAAACAAACAAACAAGCCCCGCTTTATTAAACCCCCAAATCCCTCTATTAAACACAAAAAGCCACAGAGAGGGCAGACACGGCCTGGAGGCAGGAGCCAGCCTGAGGCTTCCTCCCTCCATCACCCTGTCCCCGCTCGCACCTCTCGGGGCTGGAGCTGGAGCCGGTGCCGGGGCCCAGGCTGTCGCAGCCGGCCTCACACCTCTCCACGGCGGCGGCGAAATCCCGGTGCAGCACCAGCAGGTCCGCCGCCTCCTCCAGCAGCGAGGCCGCCTGGGCCGACACCGGAGGCCAAGCCAGCGGCTCGCTCCTCATGGCGGCGGCGGCGGCGGGAGGGCTACCGGGAGGGCTGCTGCCTCCCTCCCCACGCCCCACCGACCACCGACCGCCGACCGCCCGGCTCCGGCTCCAGCGCCGCCACCCCGGGGATGGACCGGCTCCACTCCGATCGGGCTGGCGGCGGCAGTCACGGAGCTCGGCCCCGGAAGGCGCTAAGGGAGCCCTCCCCGCCCGCCGCCACCGCCTCCCGGCAGCGGAAGGGGCGCCCCAGCCGCCATCTTCTCCCCGCCCCGCGGGCCGGCGGGACATGTAGTTTAGTGGTGGCGTAAGGGAGCGAGGGATCGAGGCTGCTGGAGCGGAGACTCCTCGGTGTGCTGCCTTGCCCGGGCGGGGGGATCACGGCGCCGTTCCGGGGGGTGTCGCTGCCAAAAGCCTCTTCGGTTTCTCATTGGTGCGGCCGCGCAGGCCCCGTCAGCAGGAGGGCCAGAGCCCCGCCGCTGCCGTTCCCCGCCGCGGCCGCCGGGCGTCAGCCCAGTCCCGAGCGTGTCCCTGCCCGAGCAACCGGCCCCGGAGAAGGCCGCCCCCGAGGCGGGCAGCACGGCCGCGGCTTCCCTCAGCGCTCCTTGGGGCGGCGGGTCTCGGGTCATGGGTTCCTTCCTCTCCTGGCCTCCTCTGGTTCCGCGGCCTCATCCTCAGTCACCCCCTGCCTGGGCTTTTATAGAATCACAGGATGTATTGGGTTGGAAGGGACCTTAAAGATCATCTTGTCCCGACCCCCCTGCCCTGGGCAGGGACACCTCCCACCAGACCAGGTTGCTCCAAGCCCCATCCAGCCTGGCCTTGAACCCCTCCAGGGATGGGGCAGCCACAGCTTCTCTGGGCAACCTGTTCCAGTGCCTCACCACCCTCACAGGAAAGAATTTCTTCCTAATACCTCATCTAAATCTACCCTCTTTCAGTTGAAAACCATTACCCCTCATCCTGTCACTCCACTCCCTGATAAAGAGTCCCTCCCCATCTCTCCTGTAGCTCCTTTAGGTACTGGAAGGGGCTATAAGGTCTCCCCAGAGCCTTATCTTCTCCCGAAGAATTGGCACTTCTGTAGAACTGGCACATTTTTGGGCATGCCTGCAATTTTCAGGGGAGTCCCTCCCCATCTCTCCTGTAGCCCCTTTAGATACTGGAAGGCTGCTATAAGGTCTCCATGGAGCTTTCCCTTCTCCAGACTGAACAACCCCAACTCTCTCAGCCTGTCTTCATCAGAGGGGTGCTCCATCCCTCTGATCATCTTCGTGGCCCTGCACATCTAAGCATGTTATGCTGTTAAAGGAATCAGAGTTTGGACGTAATAACAGCGTCTCCATCAGTAGCCTGCAGGCAATGATTCACATTCTTCTTTAGTTGTTATTTAAAAACAATAGGGTGCCTTGGTTACAAGGTAATTATGGCAGTCAGTGCAAATGCTCTTCAAAAATGAATCTCTACAGGAGGGGCGGGACTTATTTCTTTTGTAACGCTGACCCTTACTACGATTATTTAACTAAAAAAACCAATACAATGTGCTGATGCAGAACATGTTAAAAAGTGCAACCCATCTTTTAAAGGGGAGTTTCTATGCCATTTCAGTGCTGAAAGCAGGGAAGAAAGTGTGGAGATTATGATTACTGTGTTCAGTTCTGGGCCCCTTACTACAGGAAGGACATTGAGGTGCTGGAGCACGTCCAGAGGAGAGCCACCAAGCTGGTGAGGGGTCTGGAGAACAAGTCACACGAGGAGAGGCTGAGGGAACTGGGCATGTTTAGTTTGGAGAAGAGGAGGCTGAGGGGGGGAGACCTCATTGCCCTCTCTAACTCCCTGAAAGGAGGGTGTAGAGGTGGGTGTTGGACTCTTCTCCCAAGGGAATAATGACAGGAGCAGAGGAAATGGTCTGAAGGTGGGGCAGGGGATGGTTAGATTAGATATTAGGAAGAATGACGTTCCTGAGAGAGTGGTCAGGCACTGGAACAGCCTGCGCAGGGGGGTGGTGGAGTCACCATCCCTGGAGGTATTTAAGAAAAGTGTAGACATGGCACTTCAGGGCATGCTCTAGTGTCTGAGATTGTTGGTTTGTGGTTTGTTTGTGTGGGTTTCTTGGTTTTGTTTGTTTTTTTCTTGTGGTTGGACTCTATGATCTCAAAGGTCCCTTCCAACCATGAGGATTCTGTGATTAAAAACCTGGTCATAACTCTTTTTACAGGTGGCTGTTTCCAGAAGGCAGGACCACACACCAGCCCCTCAGGGTAGCTGGGGGAGCACTCTGCAGCAGCAGCTTTCATGCAGCTGCACATCTGAGGGGGTGGCAGGCTGTGCCCTCAACTGGGGGAGAAGTTCCTGGAGGATTCAGGCTGATTAAGGCCAAAAGACAGCACAGAAACCTTGTACAAAGATACAAAGAAAGGGCCCAGTGGCTAAGCAGAGGCAGAGGTAAAGGCGTTTCGGACTTCTGTTTCTGTTCCTCGGTGCTTGCAACTTGGAAAACAACATTCCTTTTTGGGAACTACAAGTCCCAAAGTGCACTGTGGGAAGAACATGCCTCGTACCAGCTAGTGCCCAGCACAAATTCCCAAATATGGATAAGGAATCAATTTTGAAAAAGACTCACGCCGGCTGGATACTGCCCACTGAGACGCAGAAAAGGAGGAAGACAGCACAAAAACAAGGTGAGTTTGCGATTTGCAGAGGTGTAATTCATTAATTTATTTCACGGGGAGCAGCCGAGGATATTCTGTCCCGTAGAAGGGGAGCGGAGCGTTGCGCTGGGGATGTTGGATTTGGCTGCTGCGGCAACGGAGGCGACTTTTAAAACAAGAGGGGACTGTTGTTTCAGGTGGGGAAGTGAGCAGCGGGAGCAGCTGCTGCCGAGTGAGTCAGATCCTGTTTCCTTGCAGATGCTCCTTGTTAAATAAAGGCCCATGGAAGGACATTGCGAGGCGCAGCGCTGGTGCGGTGATGGCAGAGGCAGGGAAGGGTCAGGGAGAGGGAGGAGTTGCTCCGAGCAGGAGATGTGTACGAGTCGCAGTGTGGTTGTTTCAGAAGCCAAGGTGGAACAAGCCGCCTTGTAGTAACAATAATTATAGATGAAATTAATTTCTCTTGTATGGTATGGTATCATGTTTTTGTACTTCACCCCTCTTCCTAGAGGGGACAGTGTGGTGCCTTGAAGGCTAAACCTCTTGCAACTCTCTGACCTGCAAATAACAGTAACTGGGTAATAGGATTGTTTCACTTCAGGCCAGGAGCAATTATGGATTTTATTGGCAATTTATTAACAAGCAAAATGAAATCATTCCAAAACGGAATCATCTTAGTGGAGATGAGAGATGCTCTTTCTCCAGACTCGGGCATGCGTGAAGCCTCGGAGGCCGACTTGGCCACGGGCAACATGGGCTCCTGCCTCTGTTTCTCTCCCCAGCAGTCGGGCATATTCCTTGTGCAGCCCAGATGCAGCGCCTGGACTCTTCTTCTGCTGGGTGACGTCAAGCACAGCTGGTCAGCCTGATCCGTCAGCCCAGCACCCTCCTCCTACTATGTAGGGTCATGGAGCAGCACAGCCGGCACAGCACGGCACAGGGCTGCGAACGTAGGAGGTGCAGCCCAGCCCTGGAGAGGAGCCTGGGGCCGTCTGGGCTGGTGAACCAAACTGTCACAGTTTGCCACACACGTGGCCAAATAAGAATGACGCTGGTTTTCCATCTCTCCTTAAATGCGAACAGCTTAAGCTGTTTTTAAAACTGAAAGAATCACTCTCGTACATGAATTAGCGTAAGGCGCAGAGCTGTACCACCACACAAATGCTGTGTTTGCCTCCTGGGTAACCATTTCTAGTAACTGGAAAAGCTGAAGTCAAGCAAACTTCCTGCTGGTGACAGGTAGTAAGAGGAAGCACCACAACAGATTTTGTGTCCTGGGTAGGATGTTGATGCCGAGCTCCCCGCCTTTCATCTGAAATCAAGGAAATTTTTTTGCTGCTCTCATCCTGATTTTTGTATAGGAAAAGTGAGTTTCAGAGGGGCCTTCTTTGCGCCTGCATCAGCTGTGGATTCACAGATTCCCCTCCTCCCTCTCCTGCCAGGCAGTTCAAGGAGAGTTTAGAGTTACAGGCACCTGTAACAAGGCCTCCTGAGGTAAATCGCCTCAAGTAATAATCCAGATCTGACTAGCACACGGTCACAGGGCCAGAGAGCTGGCAATCAGTCTTTTCTGTGGTCTCTTCTGTGTCAGTAGGCTGTTAATAGGAGATTAGCAGCATTAGGGAGACTTTGAGCTAGAAACAGTGAGGCCCTGCGATTTGATTTGAAGAGAAAGAAACCCTCTTACACCCCTATAAAAACAAACAGAAGAGCTGCAAATTATAAATAGCCTTACAAACACAACTGAGGAAAGGCTGGTTTCTAGGAAAGATGCGGAGTTTTGTAGCGCATCGTAGCTTATCAGCGACTCTTGAATGAAGCTATGAGGTCCATGGACACCGCAGGTCCCAACGGGCAGGGCTTTTGTTTGGGTTTGCCTAGACCACGACGTGCCACAATCTGTGATTTGCTCGTCATTTCCACCAGCAGCACATCCCTATCCAACAGGAAGGCAGCCGGCCGCAGATCCCTTCGGTTCCTCCAGCTCCAGGGCTCCCCTGTCTCCTGGGTTGGGTGAAGGAGAACGCTTTCTGGCTGTGAGTTGAACAGATGGCCGACGGCGATGCTCCACTTTCTTACCTCACCCAGCACGGTGGCACAGAATCAAACCTATTTTGTGGTTTCAAAAATAGAACTAAGAAGAGGCGACGCGCCTGATTTTGAGACCACCTGCTGATGTCCCTAGTTACTGTACTTAAAAGCAGTTGCCTCTTATTTTGGCCGCATGAAAACCCACATAAACAACAGGCAAAGACAGTAGAAGGCAGAAAAGGCAACCACAGAGGTAGTCACCCCCCCCCCCCCAACTGGGGGTATCACAGAAGTGTGACCAAATCCCTGTTTTAGCCTTCATCACAGATGCACAAACACTGTGTAAGGTGTAAACGCTGGAAATTGGGAAACTGGAAACACGGAGCTGTTTTCACAACTTGTTGAAACTTGACTTTTGCTCAGATAATGGCAAAAGCCTTCCAAAAAAACAAAGGGTGATTTTAAATTCATTAAGCCTCTTTCTTTGCTCCCTATAAAACGAAATAGCAGCCTTGGCAGGGGAGCAGACAAAGAATAACAGCTGTTACTTTGGATTTCATTGTTACTGTTATAATAGTAATAATTAGTGCTGGGTGGGGCATTTCATAGCTTTAAGGTGACCAATTTGGTTAAAG